ATCAGGGCCGTAGCAAATTTGGTGTCTGTTGAAGACTTGCTCTCTGCTTCCAAGATGGGGCCTCTTGCTGAATCATATGACAGAAGGTGAGAAAAAGGATGAACACTGTGTCCTCACAGTGGGGAAGAGATAAAAGGGGTGGAAAGGTCAATGGATGTCTTCTCACATGGCAGAGGAGATGGAAGGCTCTCAGAAGACTCTTACAAGGGTGTTAATCACATTCATGAGGGTGAAGCTCTCATGACTCAATCACTTCCCAAATGCCCCACCTCTCATACCGCAATGGAGATTAAGTTCCAACATGAATTTTGGAGGGACACAAACATTTGAACCATAGGAAGCAGCAAGGAATGTAGGAGAGAAGGAGCCACTGCCCTGGCAGCTTTGCCCCATAAGAGGCAACATGGAGGGATCCACAAGGAAGGGGAAAACCCCCAATGTGAAAAGGGAGGAGAATTCTTTCTCCCAAGTGCCATTCAATGAGACCTGTATCAGTTTCTGGACCCTCCTTTGCCAGTAATATACTTATTCATGCCAATATCAATACCACCCTCCTTGATTCCAACAGTATTATATCAAATGTCAATACTACATACTAAAAATATAATGTTAGCTAATGTATACTGCATCTTACTACTCTAGGTACTCCATCAATACTTAATTTTTACGGACATGATACAGGTACTTTCATTTTTTTGTTTGTTTTTTGGAACAGCTTTTTTGAGGTATGATTCACATAACATACAATTAATCCATTTATAACTATACAATTTAATCTTTTTTAGTATATTCAGAGTTGTGCAACTATCTGGAAACTTTTCATCACCCCAAAAAGAACACTTTGGCTGTCACAACCTCCAGTTTCCCCCCTTCCTTAACCTCTAGGCAACCACAAATCTACTCTTTCTCTGTAGATTTGCCTTTTGCAGACATCTCACATGAGTGAAATCATACAATCCTTTGTGAATAATTTCTTCCACTGAGCATATTTTTCAAGGTTCCTCCCTGCTGCAACGTATGTAACTCTGTGATATGGATATATTTTATTTATCTATCCATCAGTTAATGAAGATATAGGTTTACACTTTTGTGGTATTATGAGTAATGCTGCTATGGAAATTCAAATTTATCTTTTTGTGTATATAGATCTTTATTTTTATTTATTTATTTATTTTTAAGATGACTGGTAAGGGGATCTTAACCCTTGACTTGGTGTTGTCAGCACCATGCTCTCCCAAGTGAGCTAACCGGCCATCCCTATATAGGGATCCAAACCCGTGGCCTTGATGTTATCAGCACCACATTCTCCCAAGTAAGCCACCAGCTGGCCCTTATACAGGTCTTTATCTATCTTTGGTATATGCTGAGGAGTAGAAATGCTGGGTCAATAAGTATCTCTATGTTTAACATTTTGAAGAACTACCAGACTGTTTCGCAAAGGGGATTTACCATGTTACACTCCCACCAGAAATGTCTGAGAGTTCCAATTTCTTCACCACCTTGCTAACACTTGCTATTTTCATCTTTTCTATATTAGCAATCCCAGTGTTATGAAGTGATATTCTGACTTCATAAAGGTGACTTGGTGACTACATGGAGAGGTTCATGTCATTAAAAGAAAAGTTTATTACTCATAGTATCAATAAAGAAGGATGCCATGCCATGCAAGGAGACATGGAGGAAAAGACTTGGTCAGGAGGCAGAAGAATGAGCAAGGGGAAAGCACAGGCCACAGTTTTTATTGCGGTTTCCACCAGAAAGGTAAGGCAGGGCAGAATAAAACGTTTCGTATTGGCTAGTGTGAATAATGTTGGCAGGCACAGGGACATAGATGTACATAATTATCTAGTGCCTTGCCCTGGACAAGGGAAATATTGGCTTGGTATGTTGAAGTTGGATAGAGGAAGTAGTTGGGTACAGAGGCTTTGGACTGGTTGGTATATATGAATGAGTGATTCCAAGCAAGTTGTTCGCTATAGTTAGGAATTACCCAACCCTGGTAGGGGCACTCCTCCCCCAGCTAGCAAGACCCTCAGGATGTCTATGTATCCTAATATACAGAAAATTAAAACCATGATTAATATAATTGGTCCTCCAATGGTTTGACATTACACTAGGAACATTGGTACAATGAGAGTAAAGATTATCAGACTGTAGAGCATACGTTGCCCTAAACATCACAGAAAACAGTTTAAAAATAAAGTGAAAAATAAGTGAAATATAAGTATTCCTGCCCATAATCAAGTTTTCCATTATATGAGGGTACTTCAAAAACTTTGTGGAAAAATAGAATTAAAAGATAATATGGGGCCGGCCTTGTGGCTCACTCAGGAGAGTGCGGCACTGGTAGCGCCGAGGCCGTGGGTTCGGATCCTATATAGGGATGGCCGGTGCGCTCACTGGCTGAGCCTGGTGCAGACACACTGTGCCAAGGGTTGCGATCCCCTTACCAGTCAAAAAAAAAGATAATATGAATCTTTCCATGAACTTTTTGAAATACCCTCATATATGGCATTGCTCAAGAAAATAAATTTGAAATTTTGAAAGCGTCAATAATCTCATATGTTTTTTGTTTTTGTTTTTGGGGGAGGTTGGCCAGTATAGGCACCTGAACCCTTGACCTTGGTGATATCAGCACCATGCTCTAACCTACTGAGCAAACTAGCCAGCCCTGTAAAATAATTTATTTATTTTTTTGATGGCTGGCTGGTATGGGGACCTGAGCCCTTTGCATTGGTGTTATCAGCACTAAACTCTGCTAGATGAACTAACTGGCCAACCCTTGAAAGGTCAGTAATATCTCTGTGGAGTTGTAAAGTACGTTAAAAGTATGAGTTTGACAATAATTAAGGTTGCATGTCTGGAGTTATGTCGTTGAAGAGTATGAACTGATAAATTAGTAAAACATGCAAAGATTAGTGGTTTTCTGTGAAAACAAGGAGACAGAGTAAGGAGATCAAGATAAAAAGTGTAGGGGGGTAGAAGGTACCAGGAAGACCCCTCAGGGGTCACGGGTTGACTGATATGAGGCAGGTGCCTCCTGGGGAATCCAAAGATCTTTTATCAGTTTTCAAAACAGCACAGGTAGGAGTAACCTCTAACAGATTTCTTATAGGCATGGGGTGTATTGCTGTATGTTTTAGCTGAAATTTCCCAGGATCATAGGTTGAAACAACACCTAGCTCAGGCACGTATCAGATTCTCAAATGTCAAACAAAGAAAATCAAAAATGTTTTGTGTCAAATTTGTGTCTTAGGAGCCCCAGTCTATGGGCATCAAGACAGCCAAGGTTCAGGGGAATTGGGTGAATTCATCTCCAATGGTGTGGTCTTAGGCTGGGGTGATGTCTTGGCCAGCAGTGAGCTCCTGGGGCAGGGTCATATCTGGGTGGTGAGACTGAGATATCATTTATTAATGGTACTAACACTAGGAGTCCAAGCACATATATGAAATCAACCTGCATTACGGATGTCACCCATGACCCAGAAGGGCCCAGACTCAAACTGTGAACAAGTTTCAAGGGGATCCTATAGGACTTATTTCAGACAATCATGATGACATCTAAGACCAGACTATGAGCCATCTCAAACCACACGAGGCAGACACTAATTGATTTTTACAGGATTATTGCTGACAATTCAAGGTGGGGACAGATAAGCTAAAAGAAACACTCCTACCCACAAGAGAACCATTCAATGACCCACTCCTCTCCAAGTACAAACATATAACACAAAGATACATTCAAGATTTATTGTTTAGCTTGTTTTGTATAACCATAATGATGGCTGGATTAAGCGCCACAGAGTCATAAGGCAGTTGTAGCTATGATGGTCATACATGGTATAACCCAAGGTTGCCTGAGCATCAAAAGTATATAAATTTGGATCACTCCAAGTGAAATCTGGTGGGGTTGGTCATGTGTCTGTACTCAAGGGCCACAGTAAAGAAGCACCAGTGATGTTGTCAAGCACAGGGGACCATCATGATTAGTATGTTGACAGGAGTTTTTCTGATTTCACAGCACATGGATGGAATGACAAACACAGAGGCAGGTCATGTTCCTAGCTCCCACTGTTGCTTGACTCAGGCATATGACATGATTGTTCTGCCAAGCTGTGAAGTGGACCTAGGGGTTAAAGAGAACATTCAGGGTTCTCAACCCCTCCTTTCACTGCCTGACAATACCAAACTTCCCACCCTCCCCAGATGCAAGGGCTATGGCTCTCCCTCCATGGTTATGAATTTGGGGTACCTCACATTACTAGCTATTACTTTACCCTTTCTCCACCAAGCCAATTTTTTCATGCTGCCTTTTTATCTGAAAGGATCAGGTGTGAGAGAGGAACACAAGAAGTTTTACAACATTTACAGCATTATTAGATCCCTACCTTGGCTGGTATGAACTACTGTAGGTGGACCATGTATAAGACCATGAAAAGCCAACCAGAGAATATACACTGATAAAACAGGATTAAGTCTGAATGCTGAAGGCCCACTTTGCCAGTTTCCAACCTGGAACATGAAGCAACTAGAAAAGACTGGTGTTGCTGGAGAAGAAAGAAAGATATATTACTCCAGGAAGAATCAGGACAGGCTCACAAATGCTCAAAATAAATCTCCAGAACCACCCAGAAAGCCCTGTCTCTGTCAGCATGTAAGATGGCATCACACAGAAAAGCAATTCCTATATTCCATACATTCATGGTTTCTCTTCAGGTGAATCACCACGTTTAGTAAAGTTTAAGCAATAAGCTGATGTAAAAAATGACTTTCCAACATTTCTTACCTTTATGAAGTTCTTTTCCACTGTGATATCATGAGTGAGCATCAAGCTATTTAGGAGAACTACAACTTTTCCACGTCTTACATCACTAGGGTTTCTCTCCATTGCAAGACCTCATGTGTTTAGTAAGACCTGAGAAAAGAGTGAAGGCTCTCTGTGTTTCCTACATTGTATGACTCTTTCATGCTGGACTGTGATCAGCTTTCAATGGTATTCCCACATTCCTTAAATTGATGGGGCACCTTAAGAGTTTTTTCATGTCTTCTAAATGTAGTGGCATAATTGAGGGCTTTCTCAAATTTCCTGTATTAATAAGGTTTCTCGCCAGCGTGAGTTCGAATGTCATAACTAACATATAAGGAATTACTACAGGATTCTCCCCATTCCTTGCATTCAAAGGGTTTCTCTTCAGTGTGAATTTTAAAATGTTCAGTTAGTGAATGAAACCTATTGTAGGCTTTCCCACATTCCTTACATTTATAGGGTTTCTCTCCAGTGTGAGTTCTTATATGTACAATAAGGTATGAGGACGTGGTAAAAGATTTTCCACATTCCTTACATTCATAGGGCTTCTCTCCTGTGTGAGTTCTTAAATGTTCAGTTAGGCTTGAAGAAACGGTAAAGGCTTTTCCACATTCCTTACATTTATATGGTTTCTCTCCAGTATGAATTCTTATATGTTTATGCAGGTGTGAGGAAGCACGGAAGGCTTTCCCACATTCCTTACATATATAGGGTTTCTCTCCAGTGTGAGTTCTTGTATGTTCGACAAGGTGGGAGGATGAAGCAAAGGCTTTCCCACACTCGTTACACTTATATGGTTTCTCTCCAGTGTGAGTTCTTATATGCACATTAAGGTGTGAGGATGTAGCAAAGGATTTTCCACATTCCTTACATTCATAAGGCTTCTCTCCTGTGTGAGTTCTTAAATGTTCAGTTAGGCTCGAAGAAACAGTGAAGGCTTTCCCACATTCCTTGCATTCATAGGGTTTCTCTCCAGAGTGCATTCGAACATGCTTATTAAGGCATGAGGAATTTCTGAAGGATTTTCCACATACCTTGCATTCAAAGGGCTTTTCCTCCACGTGATGTTTTAAATGTTCATTTAGTAAATAAAACCTGCTGTAGGCTTTCCCACATTCCTTACATACATAGGGCTTCTCTCCAGTGTGTGTTCGTACATGTTTAGTAAGCCCTGAGCATGCAGTGAAAGCTTTTCCACACTCCTTACATTCATAGGGCTTCTCTCCAGTATGAATTCTTATATGTTCGGTTAGGCTTGAGGAAACAGTGAAGGATTTCCCACAATCTTTACACTCAAAAGGCCTTTCTCCAGTGTGAATTCTTATATGTTCAATAAGACCTGAGAATGTACTGAAGGCTTTCCCACATTCCTTACATTCATAGGGCTTCTCTCCAGTGTGAGTTCTTGTATGTCTTGTAAGGTCGGAGCGCCAAGTGAAGGTTTTGCCACAGTCCTTACACTCATAGGGCTTTATTCCAGTGTGAACTCGACTGTGACGATTAAGGGATAAGGAATTTCTAAAGGATTTCCCACATACCTTACATCCAAAGGTCTCCTCCCCTGTGTGAGTACTTAAATGTTCAGTTAGTCGGTAATACATAGTAAAGGCTTTTCCACATTCCTTACATTCATAGGGCTTCTCTCCAGTGTGTGTTCGTTCATGATTAATAAGTCCTGAGTGCCCAGTGAAGGCTTTCCCACAGTCCTTACATTTATAGGGCTTCTCTCCAATGTGAGTTTGTACATGTGTAATAAAGACAGAGCGCCAAATGAAAGTTTCCCCACAGTCCATACATATATAGGGCTTTACTCCAGCATGAATTCGACAATTATGATAAAGACATGAGGAGTTTCTAAATAATTTTCTGCATATCTTACATTCAAAGAGATTTTCCTCTGTGTGAGTTTTTAACTGTTCAGATACTAGATAAAACCTATTGTAGCCACTCTCACTTTCCATATATTCACAGGGCTTCTCTCCAGCATGAATTCTTACATGTTCAGTTAGGCTTGAAGAAACAGTGAAGGATCTCCCACATTCCTGACATTCATAGGGTTTCCCCCCAGTACGGTTTTGCCTGTGATTATTAAGATATGCAGAATATCTAAAGACTTTGCCACATTCATTACATTCGGGGGATTTTTTTACAGTATGCATTTGAATAGGCACAGCATGGCTTGTGGTCTGAGTAAAAGCTCTCCCACACTGATTCCATTTGTAGACTTTTTCTCCAGTGTGAGATCTCCTGTGTACCTGAAGGTGTGATGAATTAAAGAACGCTTCCCCACAGTCACTGCATTCAAAGGACTTGTCTTGTGGGCATGCCCACACTGATTCCATTTGTAGACTTTTTCTCCAGTGTGAGATCTCCTGTGTACCTGAAGGTTTGATGAATTAAAGAACGCTTCCCCACAGTCACTGCATTCAAAGGACTTGTCTTGTGGGCATGTTCTCTGGGAAATGATATTTGGAGTCAGGCTAAGGGCTTTTCCACAGTGATTCAGCACAGAAAATTCCACACCAGTAGAGGTTTTCTTATGCAGAGTAAGAAAATCCTTCCCATACTGATTATAGTCATAAGTGTTCTGTGTATTTTGAGTTCCCATGTGTGTCTTAAAGCATAAGTGCTCACTGAATATTTCTCCACATTGCTTCCAGTCACAGAATTCCCCTCCACTGTGACTTCCTGCCTGTTGATCAAGGGATAAACAATGATTAAAGCATTTGTGAAACATATTATTTGATTTTACCCATATGAAGATGAAAACATTATAATGATAATTGAGATTCTTCCCATATTCATTGCATGCATACAGTTCCTATGCTGTGGAGCTATTTGAAGCTGAATGAAAGAACTGTACTGCAAGAATTCTGTGTCATCTGCTCTAACCTTCAACTGATTCATATATTTTCATGCAATTATTTTGAAAATGTGAATACCTAGTTACATATGTGGTAATGTGTACTTGTGGAAATTCTGAAGCACCAAGTTTTGATCTAGGAATAGAATATCACCAAATATATCATATTCACAGTATCCTTCTAAAGAAATTCCTCCTGCTTGGGTGAATGCTACGTCTCTCAAGTATCACTCATTTGTGCTGATTTTCTATAATGGAATTCCTAATATTTTCTAAGTGTGGGCAAAAAAAAAAAAACAAACTCCCTTAATCTTACCGTTTGTATCTCATTTGATGTTTTTAACCAAAAAATGTCCTGCTCAAGGGCTGACCCTTTTGTTCTCAACTGTGATTCTGAAGTAAAACAAAAAATACATATAAGGGTTTGCAGAACAAAATGGTAGGTTAAATAAGTTAAAAACGATAAAGCTCATTCCTATTTATTTTTATATTAAACATGTGAAAGAAATAAAGTAAAAATAGATTTGAGTGGTTTAGCTATGCCTGAAATTTGGCAATCATAAGAACTTAGGGTCAAAATTTGGTCATTTTTTCAATGGTTTATTCTACAAAAATTAAATGTGATGGTGAAACAATATTATCAGGGAAGAAAAACAGAAAAGAGCTGGACAAAGACCATACATTAAAACCATAAATTCAAAGAACAAAACATAAGAGTGAACAGTAAATAAAGGAGCATGGGAGGTGGAAGATATCCCTAAACTTCTGAGTCTAACATCCTCACCTTCTGGACAAAGTACATCTTAAAAAGTTTCCTCATTACACTTCCAAACATACTTAACTTCTCTTTAACCATGGATGTTTTCCACCAACACTTACCTTGGAAAACTCCTGACTGCACTGTCCTCAGCTCTTTTTCTTCCAGCCAAGAGATCAAACTAGGTTTGAACAGCTGACATCCTGTACATGGGAAAAGACACATCAGTGGAAGAGGCTTACCCATGACACAACAAACCTACCCATCAAACAGGAACTAGATTTCTAGAGAAAGCAGTGGAAATATTTCAAAAGAGCTCAAAATGCAAATGTCCCATCTTTCTGTGCTCTAAGAGATTGGTCATCTCTGACCCCAGCCACACACATTGAGGCTTAAATACACACTAAGACTTTCATTCAAGAAGGAAATGATATTAGTGCAAAAAGAGATCTTAATTCTCACGGGAAACTACTATCTTGTAATTATCAACTTCAGAGTGAATCAGATTGACTTCGAGGGCTTGTTAAAACACAGCTGACAGGGCTCCAGCTCAAGAGGTTCTGATTCAGTAGGGCAAAGGTGGAGTCTGACAATGTGCTTTTTGAATGAAGTGACAGTGATTCCACTGATCCTAGGACCACATTTTGAAAACTACAATGCTCGATATAAAACTCATTAGTACTGTGACTTTCTATTATTTCCCATTGCATTCAGAGCTGACATCACCGTTACTGGAACACAGTAAACACACACTATACATAAATTCCACGGGAGGCTACAAGGCATGATCCAGTCTTACCCACTGTGGCCAGGTTCTTGTAGTTCTCCAGCATCACATCTCTGTATAGGTTTCTCTGAGTTTGATCCAATAAAATCCATTCTTCGTGGCTAAACTCCACAGCCACATCGTCAAAGGTCACTGAGTCCTAAATCATCACACACATGCTGGTTTGAGTCACACAGCATGTCCATAAATGTTCACAGAGATTGAGAAAGGAGAACCCAATGCCAGTACAAGACTCTGAAGGCTCCCATTGTCCACGCCAGCATTCAATGTTTCTAGACACTCTTCTCACATTCACACACAGTCCATCTCCTCCAGTCATACGGCTTTGAAGGCACCTCTTACACGTGATCTTATCTCACCACAACTAGACTTCTCATCTTATATCCCTCAACTGCAGCTCACTCCTGAGCACACTGCAATCACTCGATAAACACTGAGGCATAAATAAATTCCCTGAGAAAAGGACACTTGCACCTTCTTTACAATCTGTGAGAGCACTCAGCAAAATAAGAAACATGCATTTGGCACAATGAGGGTCAAAATAATAAATAATTTTGAAATACTGGGATAATTTTCAAGGCAATACCTAAGCAATATAGAGGCTCCACTCCCTGCATAAATTCAATTAAAAATATTTGCTTTTAGAAACTGTGGGGGCCGGCCTGTGGCTCACTCGGTAGAGTGCGGTGCTGATAACACCAAGGCCACGGGTTCGGATCCTATACAGGGATGGCCGGTTCGCTCACTGGCTGAGCGTGGTGCTGACAACACCAAGCCAAGGGTTGAGATCCCCTTACCGGTCATCTTTTAAAAAAAAAAAAAAAAAAGAAACTGTGGAGGCAAGTCTGCCCAGAAGGAAATATGTCAACTGGTGGATGCAAGTATGTCATTTTTTGGAAAAATATGCACTTGGCATACCTGATTATTACTCATTAGACAGTCAGCCACCATCTTTGCTGCCTGTATCTTTCCTTCACGAAGGCAGATTACATCCCTAGAAACACACCCTCCTGGAAAAGAAAGAAGGTATGAGAACCAGAGCCAATCATAATTCCCACATTCATATGCTGGGAAATTATTCCATCCTAGTGTGAAATTCCCTTATAATCCTGCACACTCAAGAAAACACACACATATACACACTGCTGCCATGCAATGCTAGAGCAGACTGTCTCACCTGGAGCTAATAAAAAGGGATGGAAAGCTATGCTGCCTGTCAGGAAAAAAGGTAATAACGTCATTTCACAGGTAAGGAAACTTAAGCCCTGAGAAATGTGAATCTTTATTTGCCCATTATGATAATTCTCATGAAGGACATTATACAACACCTCTTCACAAAGCACACATACCAGGGGCTGAATGAAAAAACAGCATTCTGTGTCACACTTCAGTACCTCCAAAATGAACCTGGAACATCACTGCTCAGGCCTGGATCACAGGACTGTATATCATGTAGAAAAATTCTAAAGCAGAATCTCTGAAAAAAAGAGCACAAACAGAGCACTTACCATGGGACAAATCAATGGCTGCCATGCTGTGAGGCTGATGATGAAATCTGCCCGAACGCTCCTTTCCTTGATGCCAAGACCACTTCAGGTCAGCTTGCAAATCTGAATGGATGGTGCCATCTCCATGCCTCTCGATACAGGGATAACTGGTGTCCTATTTCATGTCAATCATTAATCAACAAATATTACTTATCAGTCATCAAATATCATACATTAGCTTTCTCTCTCCAGATGATATATGTGAAAGCCACTAAAACCAGTATACTCCATGAATGTTAATAACATTTACTGTCATTTACAAGGGGCAGAAGTCTCAGAATGAGCCTTACATGTTAGCTCACTTAATTATCATAAAAACCCTTCACAATAGACACTACCTCTATTTAATAGTTTTAAAAAACAAAAAAACCCACAAAAATTTAACCCCCCAGATTCGGATAACACTAAGTGCTCCAATATCATCCACTTAAGTAGTGGTGAGTCAGAACTCAAATACAGGTTACTTTGCTCACTGGCTGAGTGTGGTGCTGACAAATACAGGTTACTTTGGTTTAGAAGCCTAAACATCTAAGTTTGTTGTTACTCCCCAACAAGACAAAGAGTAGGTCTAAAACCACACTGTTCAAACAGTAGCCACTAGCCACATGTGCTACTGAGCTCTTGATATAAAGCCAGGATGACTGAATGATAGGATTTGTTATTTTATTTAGTTTAGTTAAAATTTTAGAAACGGGCCGTGGCCAGTTAGCTCAGCTGGTTAGAGTGCAGCCTTATTACACAAAGGTCCCAGGTTCAGATCCCTGTACCAGCCACCCACGAAAAAAAATTTTTTAAATAAAACTTTTATTTAAAAGGATACTTGATTCAGTTATTGGAAAACTTTTAAATATGTTTGGAAAACTTAGATGTTTGAATCTACCTTTTCTACTCTTATTTTGATGGTGTCTAAATACAAATCTTGTATATCTGATCAAAATTTAGAGTCCAATGAATTGAAGACTTAGCAATTTTTTATATACATTACATGGTGAAATAATATGTTAGATATATGGCATTAAATAAAATATATTAGAAATATACCACACTTGTTTCTGTTTTGTTTATTTTAAGTACTGAAAATCTTTAAGTTATATGAAGGCACTTCAAAAAGCTCATGGAAAGATTCACACTATCTTTCAATTCTATTTTTCCACTCACCTTCTGAAGTAGCCTCGTACATGACCTACATGTTATATTTGTTAGACAGAACTGGTCTAGTTTGCTGCAGCACGATGAAGAGTAAAAAACTGGTTCTATTTTTCCACTCACCTTCTGAAGTAGCCTCGTACATGACCTACGTGTTATATTTGTTAGACAGAACTGGTCTAGTTTGCTGCAGCACGATGAAGAGTAAAAAACTGAGTGTTTTATTTAGTTGACTCCCTGGAGCTTCCCATGATGGAGGCTGGAGCAGCCTGGAGCAGCTTGGAGCTCTGTATCTTCTCTGACTTTTCAGTTCTGGCCTACTGCTTCATTCATTCAACTTATAAATAAAAAGTTTTGACCCTGTGCCAGGCATCAAGCAAAGAGCAGTGAAATACACAGAAAAATGTCTTAGACTTCAATAAATTCAATGTTCCTATGGGAAAAAATAAGCAATAAATTTGTAATTGATATAGTGGCCCTCTCTATCAGCAGATTCAACCAATCTTAGATCAAAAAGAATTTTCAAAAAATCACAATAAAACATAATACAAATTAAAAAATACAGTATAAGGGCTGGCCCATGGCTCAATTGGGAAAGTGTGGTGCTGATATCACAAAGACCACAGGTTTGGATCCCTATGTAGGGATGGCTGGTTAGCTCACTTGGGAGAGCGTGGTGCTGACAACACCAAGTCAAGGGTTAAGATCCCAGGACCAGCCCACGGCTCACTTGGGAGAATGTGGTGCTGATAACACCCAGGCCACGGGTTCGGATCCCTCTATAGGAATGGCCAGTTGCTCACTCTGGGGAGCGTGGTGCTGACAACACCAAGGCAAGGGATAAGATCCCCTTACTGGTCATAAAAAAAAGGGTTAAGATCCCCTTACCGGTCATCTTTTAAAATACAGTATAACAAGTGTTTACATGGTATTTACATTGTATTAGGTGTTATAAGTAATCCAGAGGTGAGTTAAAAATATGTGAGGGAATATGTGTCAATTACATGCAAATACGATGCCATTTTACATATGGGACTTGAGCATCTGTGGATTACATCATGAGAATTAGTTATCTCTGAAAGTGGGCTGTTATAAACCAAGGTTCCTCCTCAGGCTGGGAAAAAATCAAGCAGATGAGAAAATAAAGACTGCCCTACACACATATATACATGCTCTGAAACACAAATATTCTAAATTGGTTCTTGGGCAAGATTATGGCAGAAAAAGGAAATAACCATTGGCTATTTCAACTTTGACCCTAAAAGATTAAAAAAGAATTGACAAGGTTTTTACAAGAAAATTTTTTTTTTCCTTTTTGTCTTTTTTCGTGTCCGGCAATGGATCGCAACCCTCAGTGTTGTGCCCGTACCGGACCGGGACCGGCAACAGGATCGCAACCCTCGGTGTTGTGCCCACACCTCGCTCAGCCAGTGAGCAGGAACCGGTCTGTATGTAGGATCCGAACCCTTGGCGGGAGCACCGCCGCGCTCTCAAGCGGCGCACTGTAGCAGTGCGCCACCGGGCCGGCCCCACATATCAATTCTTGAATAGGTATTCAAAGAGCCATGAAAATGATCTGCAGATGTAGACTTGGCCCAAGAACCCCACTTCTGGGGTGGATGGCCATGATCTAGAGATGATGCCAATTTTACTCAAAAACTAAAATCGTAAGTGAATGGTAAGGCAAAAAAAAAAAAGAATCAGTGAATTTTAGTTGGGATTCAGCCCAGTAATGTAAAGATCGTAGGTACAAGGGTGGGGCCTGGAGTTATCTTAAGAATGAACTGTAGGTCTGGTGGAGAAAGGACCTCAGTCTGCTAGTCCAATCCCCTTAGATCACAGACGAAGAAATTGAACTTAGCATTAGTAGGGGCTTTACATAAGGTGAAGCAGGAGGACTGAAGGATACTAAAGCCCAGAGCTAGCCATGGCCTGCCTGCCTAGCAATGGTCAGAGAAAAGGCAGACACAGTCTCTGGGAAAGGAGCCAGTGTCTGTCAATGCTGAGAAGTAAATGGTTTTAAGTTTTTAAGCTGAAAGCATTTGTAGAATCTAACAAGGCTTATTTTTTTAACCTGAAGACTGGCTCCTGTCAGCCTCTAAAGTTCCTTCCTTTACCTCTCACAACCTATCCTAGCTCTTTATATGGGATCCGATCCCGTGGCCTTGGTGTTATCAGCACCACACTCTCCCGAGTGAGTCACGGGCCGGCCCGGGGATTATGTTTCAACATGAGTTTTCGAAGGGACATATATTCAAACTAGAGCATAGGCTCACCTAGATTTTCATGTGAAAATGAGGGCATGAAATTTGAGCAGAACTCAAAAGTTATCTTTCTACATTCCTTGATGAGGAGCCATTGGAATGGCATTTTGCTGAGCTACTGCTCTGCCTGCCACAGGACCCCCTAGCTTAAATTACTGCCTGTGATTCTACTAATTGGCTCCAAGGTGCATGCAAGGCAGCTCTACAGGCTAAGGTATGTGTGCCTGCCCACAACTAACTTAACCAACCACAGTCTCACTGCACCTCCCATTTGAGCTGACTGAGTTCTGTGTTCTTTTGGGCTGGAGCCATTTCAACCTTTGCTGGGGTAGTTATTTTTCTCCACCATTGCCCCACTTACCACACCACCTACTACCTCACCACTTTTCCCCTCTATCTTAGACTCCCCAAACATGGAATCATCCACAACATTGGGGACAAATGCCACTCAAGGCCTTTCTACCACTACCTCGCCTTATGAGCCCAAAAGTCACAACAATTTTTGGGGTAGGCTAAAATCAGAGCCAGGCTCCTAGAAGATGTAATTGTTGAGCCCGTTACCAAATCACAACAAAAATTCTCCATGAGTTATAGGCTTACCCAGCACCACACATATCTGCCCTGCTAATAAAAGACCCTAAATTACAGCCCAGCTGCTTGCCTGCCCCTCCAGATACCTAAGCAAAGTTCATGTCTTTATGTATCTGCCCCAGATTTTATACAACTTGGTGACAGTTGAGAGCTCCATACCACTCTGCCTCTCAGGCCTGGGGGTAACACAGCTCACCTTTGGTTCCCTAATGTATCCTTGGAGATATACTGTGGTCCTATGGAACACTGGACTCATTATATTCACTTCTCATTCCCACAGCCCCACTCTTGCCTCCCTTGATGCGAGGGCAGCCACAAGGCCCAGACTCAAGTCTACAATTTCAAATGCATCCTACTGTCTTTGGGCTTTCTCTTGCATTTAACCAGTCAAGATGCTCATTCTCAGTTCCCAGCCAGCCTGCACCCACCCCTGCAAAGGTGAGCTGTTTTCACTCCCATATTGTTGAGCAGGTTGTTACTTTCATGAGAAGGAACATTATGTGCTGTTGCTCTGTCCACGCAACAACAGGTTATTCAAGCCAATACAAATTTGTCGGCTGCACTGGCCAAACACGAAAATCTTTTACGTCACAGCCTTGCTCTAATCCCAACAGTCACATGGTCCAGATGGTATCAGATAATCGCCTTGCCCTAAGTTACCTCCTGGTCAAAGGGGTGGAGGGGGGCAGCACATTGTCAGGAACAACCTGCTACATGGACATAAACAACTCAGGCCAAATGCAAGAAAATCTGGGGCTGGCCGGTTAGCTCAGTTGGTTAGAGTGCCATCTTATAACACCAAGGTCATGGGTTTGTATCCCCTTATCAGTCAGGCGCCAAATGCAAGCAAATCTTAAAGTTGTGGCTAGACCAGTACAGGTATTTCATAACCTCACCAAGGTTTACAGTGATATTCCTACCCTGACTCTGGATAAAGAATTCGATCTGATCAATTGGTTCAAACCTACACAGTGGGGTAAATGGCCACGCACAGGATTTCAGATCACAGTGGGTGCCTTCATATTGTCTTGTCTGTTTAAATACGTTCATTGAATGCCTTACTTGCCCAGCCCAGAATTCTCTGGTAGCCTTTAATACTTCCACCATTCTAACAGTACCCATCATTATGCACAGGGTCTAATGACTAGACACCATAGGATAAATTGTAATGGGCATGACACAGCAAAGGCTGCTGCCTAGGCTTTAGGCACAATGCCTAGTGTAGAACACCACACCCAATATGCCTGAACACTACTTAATAGTGCAGCCTAAAAATATGTTAGGAGTGAGGAGCCAAAGGCAGCTCCCTCCAACCAGAAGTCAAGAAACAGAGCAGGTCCAGGGTCCCAGGCAGGAGCTGAGGGCAGCATTCCCTGCCTAGAAGCACACAAGGAGCATGCCAAAAACACCACTTCCGGGGCCGGCCCGGTGGCGCACTGCTACAGTGCGCCGCTTGGGAGCGCGGCAGCGATCCTGCCGAGGGTTCGGATCCCACATACAGACCGGTTCCCGCTCACTGGCTGGGCGAGGTGCGGGTGCGACAGTGAGGGTTGCGATCCCGTTGCCGGTCCCGGTCCGGTACGGGCGCGACACTGAGGGTTGCGATCCGTTGCCGGACACGAAAAAAGACAAAACAAACAAACAAACAAAAAAAACCACCACTTCCATGTGGTTGGCCCACCATAGCCATGACTGCTGCAAAAGTGGCTCGATGGCACAGCAGTAGCCACAGCTGCGATGCAGGTGACCCACCAGATACCTGACTGCAGTGACACAAGGAGAGTCACCAGCAGAGACTGGAAAAAGAAGAGGATGTCTCTCTCCTCAAAGCCCACTCCTGCATAATAGGAGCAACTGCTCTACCATGCCCCAGTTTTATTTCTTTTTGTTTGTTTGTTTTTAAAGATGATGGGTAAGGGGCTCTTAACCCTTGACTTGGTGTTATCATCATGCTCTCCCAAGTGAGTGAACCAGCCATCCCTATATAGGGATCTGAACCTGTGGCCTTCGTGTTATCAGCACCGCACTCTCCCAAGTGAGCCATAGGCCGGCCCTTTTATTTCTGATTTTAGTAATTTCTGTCTTTTTTTCTTGATCAGTCTAGGTAAAGATTTGCAAATTTTGCTAATCTTAAAAACAAAAATGCTAGAAGTTTGTTACTGAGATCAAAAGGCCCATTGCTTCTCCCTAGAATCCGAGCTACCATTTCTCCCATTGATGCTGACCCCTTCCGCACCAACGTCAACTTGGATTCTCTGGAAATAGAAGGACCAAATTATAAACGCGTTGACTTGGGGCCACCAGAACTTTATATGGTAAACACCCCAAAGGTGAAAATGGTTGAGGACATACAGGAGACAGTAACACAGACTAGAACTAGTACCTATTTAGGAACAGACTACTGAAAAGATTTTGTTCAAGGAGACCATGAGAAAAGGGCCTGTTGGCTTTTTGGGTCTTTACCATGGAGTCCAAGCTTTGGCTTTTGGGTAAGGAAATAAGACACTGAGCAGGCATAACCTGACACTCCAAAATTTATAATATCTTACAGG